GTACTGAAGGTGACACTCGTTCCAGTATCTCCGATTCTGCTGCATTTTACCGTCCCATTGGAGCTCTCGATCCAGCCAGATCATCTCAGTGGCTGGGTGTTATCGGCTCTTTGCTTTCACAAGAAGTAGTATAACGAACGTATGCTCCTGTATTACACATCAGTGAATCAGAGACAGTGAGAGAGAGTGAACCAGCCATCTTAACGGACACATTGTTCATTAGAGCAACTAGATCCGTATTCACCCTCTCTAGTGGTATTAAGATTGCTGTAAGTGGGATGACAGCCTGTCCACTTGTTTGTGTAAACTCCCCTCAATACATACTTGGTACATTCTTTAGGCAGGTTTATCACTTAGTACCTTGATAGCATGCCTTCGGTAACCTCCTGCAACTTTAAAACGTCTTCGTAATTGCAGTGCGCCCATGATCTTCATGCCATGTTTGAATATCATGGCTGAGCATTGACACATTCATCATCAACACTCGGTTGGTAAATAGGTACATCCTCTTATGGACATAATATTAAACCCTGCAACCAATTAGGATACTAGTACATCATTACCCTCTTTAAAGGAATACCTTAGCAACCATTGGTNTACTTTCCCACAATGCCTTGCGGCCGAAACATTTACCATGACACCACATTCTGCCGTTCACGGAAACAACCGATCGTGACAGAGAAATTATATCGTGAAAGTTACGGTGCTTATTGAGCATTTTACAACTTATACCGTTACTTGCTTAAGTGCTTGGTTTTGAACGTTCAACACTATATTAATCAAAAGGAGAAATATGAGCGTTACTCTTTTACTGAAATTATCAAATACATTTCAGTTCCAACCTGATGAAGAGTATATTTATCGCTGTTGTCCAAGTTCATAAAGCCTGCATAGAACAACACTATAATCGCACATTGCTAACTATCTATATGTGCATACAGCAGGTTATCTCGGCACTTAGTGTAAGTGCAGTCGGATTCTCTTGAGGCCCAGTCTCTTTTCCCAAGACCTTTTGAATTCTCCTAACCACTATTCTTTAACCTTGTAAGTTTCTCACAGAGGTCAAGGTGGATAGGAAAAGACGATAGGAGCTGATATTTGGACAATTCAACCTCAACCATGGAGAAAGGTACCGAATATGGACATTTCACATCTCTCCAGACGGCGGAGTTGATAGAAGAAGAGTTATTTTAACCACTGCAAAGTTGAGTTTTCTTATCTCTGGACTCAGAGGGGAACTTCTATAACAAACTAGATAACACCTTAAAGCCCTGGCAGTGGCAAATAGCTTTGGTTTTATATTGGATTTGACCACATTAATTAATGTTGAAGTTGAGATTCACAAGAATTTTTTTAACTGCATATGTGTAAGGGAATACTGCTGTTAAATAGCACCTTATTGTTTACAGTGTTTGCAAACCAAAATTGCACGTTTGTTCATATAGCAGTACTTTTAAAAGAAAAGTACGCAATACTCTACTTTTGAATTCATTATTGAATTTTGCCCTTAACAATGCGATAAATCGCAGAAAAATAATGCGATAAAATATTAGTATTGTTGCCCAGCACTAGTTTAAACACTGCTTAGAGGTAACATAAATCCTGAGATCCCATAATACACTGAACAAAAATATAAATGCAACACTTTTGTTTTTGCTCCCATTTTTCATGAGATGAACTCAAAGATCTAAAACATTTTCTATATACACAAAATAACCATTTCTCTCAAATATTGTTCACAAATCTGAAAAAATCTGTGATAGTGAGCACTTCTCCTTTGCCGAGATAATCCATCCCACCTCACAGGTGTGGCATATCAAGATGCTGATTAGACAGCATGATTATGCACAGGTGTGCCTTAGGCTGGCCACAATAAAAGGCCACTCGGAAACGTGCAGTTTTGCTTTATTGTGGGGGTCTGGGGGGGTCCGAAAACCAGTCAGTATCTGGTGTGAGGGTTAGGGTTAGGGTTAAGGTAATGTTGTGAATCGAGTGGCCTCTGTTCGTCGTCCATAACATACGCCTGCCCATACCATAACCAACCCCACCACCACCTTGGGCCACTCGATTCACAACATTACCCTAACCCTAACCCCTGTTGTTCAGTGTAGATTGCAGAGAGTAAAGAGGCTGTATCATGCTCTCATATGTCACAGTACACATGTATGTACACACATTT